GTTGAAACGGTTTAATTTGAATACTAAATGTCATATTAGTTATTGAAGTGACTCGATATTGATTTTCTATTAAAAAAGTCATTCAATGCGTAAACACAACTAAAAAATTTCATATAAACAAATAGTGGAAGATCATGCCAACATTCTTAACCAAATGCAAACATAGAACATGCAAAAGTCTCGTTAAATCAAATTATATGCTTAGGCGCATTTTTTTTTCACATACATCATACGATATCAAGATAAAAGTGAAAATTTAAACTAATATACTTTAGTTTAACATGCTTATATGTGACGTGCAAAATCTCAGCTCAAAGATATATCAATCAAGTTTCAATTTATCAAATAAAATATTTAGGGATTAAATTGTAATATGTTAATTAATTCCAAGATTACTATACATTTCCTAATTTTCTAGTTCAGACATGAAACTAAAAGCATAAAAAACATAATGTAGAAAACTCAGCATGATTCGAGTTAGGATTCATCCTTAATTTCAAATCTAAAAATTAGGGATCATTTTGTAAAACACTTCTCTTTTAAAAGCTAAAGACGGAAAATAACTTTAGAGAGTTAAAAGTACAATTTTTAAATAATATCTATGAATCCAAAATATTTAGAGATCGAATCTTCGTGCAAAAGGATCAATCATTTTCAAGATAATAGCCATTGGATCGGTATAATACTTCCAAGGATTGAACCTTTCTATAAGTTCATGCAAAGTTAGACTAGAACATGCATAATTAGGCCACTTGACCAATAAAGTCAAGGATCATACATGTAACATTAAAATTATGCCATTCCACACAGAAAACATATATTTTATCAACCAATTAACAATCAATCATTCTTGTAAGTCAATATTTGCATATTTTGTAACACCCCCAACCAGTATCAGACCCGGATCCGAGTCTGAGGTGTCACATTGACTTTTTAAAACGCTTTTCTTTACAAATTGATAAAACTCGCAATTTAAGAAAGTATTTACTTACATTAATTTAAAACCAAAATGAGTTTACAAAACCTATCAAAGCATCTTCATCTCACATCTATTAATACATGTCAACTACATTTACTATAACAAAATACATATAATTTAAACACCTTTCTAATCTGAACTGTGTAAGGGAGAATCTGACATGTCTTGCTCCTCTTAACTTCTCTTTTCACTTTCCGTAACCTGCGTGTGAAACACTCACACGCTAAGTCAATGACTTAGTGAGACATATAAAATATTTATTGTAAACTCTAACTTTTAATAATGCATGAATAACCAAAGCTATCATAACATACAAAAGCATATATTCTTTCTTATTACATATACACATATGCACATATATTACCATATACATTCTTATTACTTTCATATAAGTTATCATTAATCCCTTTTTATCTTATCATCTTATCTTTCACACTCATACACATCATATCATATAATATTAACAAACAAACACATAACATCACATAACATTTACTCATGTTATATCCTTTAGATAGCCCATGTACACATGTGAGAACTAAAGATATGCGAGTACATTGAGGTTGTACACTATGATGTCACCACAGCTCGTATGGGGTACCACTAGGGGCATGTGAAATTTGTCCCGAATGACCTATGTATTTGTCTCGAAGGACCAATATCCATATGTTGCGAAGAACATAGGTAATTGTCCATATGTCCCGAAGGACATAGGTAAACTGTCCATATGTCTCGAAATACATAGGTAACCCTCGACTCTTGGCATGCCAACTATACCTCTAGCTCTCATGACTCATATCATGGGCATTATCTTTTATCCTTTCATATATTCATATAAACATATCACATGTTCATATAAGCTCATAGTTTTGTTCACGTATACATGTAATCACGTAGTTCATGTCAATTCTCATATGATTTCATATTCATATGTCACATGGCTCATATCACTTTGCATGGTCTCACATATATTTTCTATATAACTCATATCATATGATTCATATCTTATTCTTCTTTCATCATATATATCATCTATGTTCATTCACTTAATATCTTATGTTATCATTTAGGTCAACCCTACTTAGTTTATCTCACTTTTTATTTATTCACTTAAATCTAATTCATATAATTGATACCTTATCATCATTCCCTTACCTATACTCATTGCACATGAAATTACATATAAGACCTATGACTATATTCATGCATACATAATAATCATATCACCCATATTAACATTAATAAAATCATGCAATCAAATATTGGAAATAAACTCATCGCGAGTCTTTTCCACACACATCATATACCAATGCATATGCACTCACCTTGACCTCACTTAGTTCCCTAATCCACCTCTAATATTTCCTTCTTTGAATCGAATCCTAATTATGTGATCATTCCGAAACTTGCTCGCGTTCGATGTCTACATAATCACACGTATAATATACATATCAACATTCCACTTGGCATACTCTAGTCTTTCATTCCTTAAACTAATAGAAAGGTTGATTTCATCTTTTATTTAAGGTAGGCATCGGTACACTCTGCAGTGTATCGATGCATCCCTTAACGTGTATATCGATGCACTACCTATGCATCGGTACACAAATTACATTCGATGTTTTCATTTTAAGAGGGTGCATCGATACACACTTCTTGTGCATCGATACACACTGAATAATTTCTGGAAATTTACCCTTGATACATCGGTACATGTTGAATGTGTATCGATGCACACTAGCCCAGAATTCCAATTTATGCATGAAAATTACCTCATTCTAACTTAATTGTGCCATGTTTCAACTTCTTTCATATCCTTAACTTATATACACCTACTTAAACCACTTAATACCCATTTATCACATCTTAAACCTCAAAATTCTATCCTCTACATGGACTTCAAGAATCATACCAATTTTTCCACTTGTTCTAAATCCAATTCTATCACTTTATATGTCTTAATTAGATTGATGACAAGTCAAATTTGGTCTAGAAATCTAATTACTATCATTTTACCAAGATTTCACTTATTCACTTCCTTTCTTTAATCCTTCCTATACCTTTCATCTTGTTGTTTTAAAACAAATTAAGTCTTTCTTAAGCTTAATTATCATCTAACAATCATAACTCAATCTTAAATTTAGCAAGAAACTAACTAACCAGAAAACTCACCTTTGTTTTTGGCTCTCACGTATGAAGGAAGAAGAAGAGGAAGAGAACTCTGGAAGCTTGCTTATTTTTTTCCTTCACTTCCACGTGTAATACATATATATAACCCCGCTCAATAATTATCTTACTATCAAATTACCATTTTGCCCTTCTATTTTTTATTCTTTGATATTTAATCATGTACTAAATTTTTAATATAAGTACCCGTACTTTTCAATTTATCTACTTTAACCAACAAATTTTGAAATATTTCAATTTAGCTACTAACCCGATATTGAGGATGTTACAAATCACCCCTCCTTTAAGAAAATTCTTCCTCGAATTTTCATTACACGTACCAATTAGAACATATCTTCTAATGTTCTCATGTTACTTTCTTTAATTTGTCCCTTTCACAATTGCAATTAATGATTTGCCTTCAATTTCCAAAGAACTAAATCTATTTCTATTTTTTCTCTTCTTCAATTATACACTTACTTTTGACCGTTGAAAATCCATATCGTGTCACTTATTATATAACTAGTAACATTCATTCTTATCACTTAAGACGTATAAAGCTAAAGCTAAGGATTGACTTTATGATACTGAAAGACGTATAAACCAGTTGGGTTTAGATCCATTGAGGAGATATTTAGGAGATGTGTTTGTTTTGATGAGAATGCCCACACATGGTGGGAGTTTGTGGTGAGAAATATTCATACTTTTCATTTGATGTAGGATTTCTTCAAGAAGAGCTTCAAGAATTGTTTCCTTGGACAACAATACTTGGCTGAGAGACAACATCAGTTTCAGGATCTGGTTTAGGGATATATAACTATTTTTAGTATGAGATGGAATTCTTGAAGCTATTGAGGTATTGTTCTAGTATGGTTCCTACTGAGAGGGATACATGCCACAAGTTTGCTCGGGGACTCATATATAAATAGCGTAGGCATGTGGTGACCCATCAAGATGAGATATTTGATGTTTTGGTAGGGAGAGTGAAAGATGAGGAGGAGGTTGAGGCCTTAGCTTATGTTACTAGGGGAAGAGAGAAGAGGGGCAATCTTGATATTTTATTTATTTTATTTTATTAATTGATTTTTATTTAAATAAAGAAAATAAAAATTAGGAGGTGTTGTGGCGTATTTTGATTAGTTATTGTATTTTATATTTAATGGAGTTAGCATTTTGGGGTAAAGATTTAATGGAGTTAGCATACAACATAGTTTTGGCTAGCTGGATTGTTATACATGGTTGTACGCGCATGTGCATAATATCATGGAGATGGAACATATATCATGGAGATGGAACATATATCACAAATATACATAATAATATCCTTAGGCATACTTACTTGACTACTTCAACACCAGTGGTAGGCTCAGTTAGTGCCCATTTTCTTGTCTTCTTCAGAAAATTTTGGCGTAAAAGTTCAATGAATAGTAACTAAAACTATCAATAAAGTATTTAAAATAATAAAAAAAGAAATACATATCTCCGTAAACGTCCAATTTCTTTTGCTTTACTGTTCACGTATGAGTTTTCGACCATTCTTCCACTACTTAATCAGCATTCCACAAATAATGTCGAGTAATACTTTTCCTATTTCTCCTTTTATATTTGAGATTATGAGTAATTTTGGAAAATGTGTAGATGATTTGACTATTTATGAAGTGCATAACTCATCGAATCATATATAATACAAATTAGACGTTATATCTTTTATATATTTTCTTTTACAGAAGATATTTTTTATAGTAAATATATCAAATATTTCACAGATCTTCTTATTTACTCGATAACAAACTATCTTACCGAAAACTAGTCATTTATTTCACTTCATTATCTAAGAAATATCGCCCCTATTTTCATGTAATTATTAAAAAAAAAACTTAATTAGAAATTCACTTATTACAAAAAAGAAAAATATTACTAGATTCATGATTAAACATATTACATTCCAGCAAATAATCATAGGCAAAAGAAAGATGTATGATAATGAGTTCAACAGCTGTTTTCTATTCGAAATCCGCCATTAATGTTGGCTCTTCTTCCTTCTTCGACCAAAGCAGTACGAGCCGACATAATCCCACGAGGCACCAAAGAATCATCGAATCCAGAACAATGAATCCAGTCCTTCAAAAGCTCTTCCTGACCCCATATTTCAGGTATCCAAACCCGACCAGCCACTTCTATCCTATGCCTCTTCAGTTTCTCTCGTCCATTATCATCTTCTCCCGTCAAAAATACTTCTGGATCCGTCATTGATTCTTCTTCGGCTCCACCACGACCCCTTAACGAGCTTTCGTTACATTCACGTGTTTCCATCCCCGAGTTTTCCTCGTCGTTGGGATGCGGAGTTTTGGTGGGTTGTTCCGGCGGCTGAGGAGGACTCCGGTGGTGGAGGTGGGTGGTATTTTCCATGTTCTTTGGGTCTAACACGTTCATGGAGTGTGTGGAAGATTAGGTTTTAGATGGAGAAATGAGAAATGGTGGGATTAAAATAAAGCGAGAATGGGTGGGGGAGTTGGGTTACACGTCGTCTCTATGTCAAATACTTTTCTCTATCTTGTTTTGTTTTGTTATAGCAAATCAGAATTTTTCATGCCTTTTTTCATTGGTGTCTTAAAAATCGCATTTTGTGTGGTTTACCTGCATCTTCTATTTTTTTTTAAATGAATTTAGGAAACCACCTTCTATGAAAACAATGGACTGCATTTCTAATGTATTTACCAGCATCATGACATATATGGATTAGATCACACTTGGAAAAAAATCAGTGGTGCTGTAAATTTACGCTTATTTTAATAAATTTTAGATTTATTCACTTAGGAAACAATTATTTATTTCACTATAGGCTTACATGCACCGAAATAACAATTAAAGTGTACTCCGTGTTATTCTTTAAGAATCTGGGTTCGAGCACCATAAATGTCTTAGGAGTGTGAGCTTTCAATGAAAATAGTTGAGAGTTATTTTTAAACATATATTATCTTATACTTACTCCATATTAATTAAAAAAAAAGCTTAAATGCACCATTGCCCCCCCCAAAGTATGACATTTGTATCTAGTTGCCCCATAAAGTATTTTTCGTGACGTTGTGCCCCCTGAAGTTTAAATCGTTACCTTATTTACCCATATCGTTAACTCCCTTAAAAATATCAAGGGTAAATTACATACTTAGTCACTCCACTATTCCTTCGTTTTGCTCACCCAACTTTTTTTCCTTTCAAAATCATCACCTAATTTTTTTCCTTTCACTTGTGAATATCATAATTGTTCTTCAAGGTATTGAAACATTTCATCAAAGCTCTTTTTGGTTTTTCATCAACCATTGATATTCTTCATTAACGACATTAGTTTGATTTCAAATTGTTCTCATTTTGGTGATTATGACATTTTTCTCGCTATACACCAATGGTAATGTTTTTCGGAAGTGCATAGTTGGGTTGAATCTTGTTCGTCAACACCAACATCTCAGTGGCCGATAAGAACATAACAGTGGATGCCAACTTCAAACCCAAAAGAGAACCTAACATTGCCACCATCGCTAGTTGCAATGATAACATTAGCCATGGTTTTTGTAGTGAGAATCGACACCATGTTGATGAAGCTAAGGAGAAAGGTGTTCCAGTTATCTCTTTGTTCTCTGACGTTTTTATCATCTCTACTCTATTGACTACCACCTCTAAGATAACATAAACTTGTAAGGTATCCATTGAAACATACGAGTTTTCCTGAAAAAATGGTGTATTGTTAACCTTTTTTTCCAATTGGGATCGTGTTGATGAATCCATCTCTAGCACCCCATAATTGCATTGATTCAAATCACGTCAAATACATTTAGTAAGGGTAAGCATCAGTCGATTTTAACCAATTTAATTGACAACACTAACTTACACTAAACTATCAACATTGACTTACACCGATGTTAGAACACCTCATTAATAATTCACTCAACTTAAAACCAATAAATAGATTAATTGTTCACCAAATAGAACATAAATCACTTTAATTAATATCGTTAAGTGATTCTAATTAATGGATCGAAGCATATCAAATATTTTTTTTATAAAAAAAATGAGAAAACAATGTAATAATATTAAAATGAAGACAAAATTCAACAAAAGAAAAAAAGCTAAGGAAAATGAAGCTTTCCCAGAGAAGAGCTAAATAAAGAGGGAAATTTAACAAAAAATAAAAGCTTACATTTGTGTAAGTTATTCCGTTCATTTTTTAAGTAACATGTTTTTTAGTCTAACTCGTTAAATAATAGCTCTTTGTAAAGATGTTTTTGAAAAAGCATCAATGTGACACCCATAGACCGATATGGGTGACCTGATCCGATCAGAGGTGTCACATTAGGGCCACCGGAACGATCCACCGTAAAAATCCCAAAAAAATTTAAAATTTTTGTTAAAATGTGTAAAATCATAAAACAATTTATAATTAAAATACAAGTTCAGAAAATTATTCATATATTACAGACAGAATTAAAACCATACATGTTCATACTAATTATAAAAAATAAATGTGACCTATATGCCCTCTAACTATACTTGTATCGTACACTGCACGCAAAGCTAAATGGAACTCCTTTACTGATGTCGATATCTGCATTGGTTTGATTCTTTTAACCTGAAATGGTAAGTAAAAGAGTGTGATTTGGGAAGCTCAGTAATAAAAATCTACCAAGTGATGCTAAAGAACATGCTGGTAAAAGGAACGTCATAAAATTTCCTTATTGACTCAGTCGTCTACAGGTTTTCGTAATGAGCTGAGGTTCCTCTGATATTTCATCGAGTAAAAGCCATTAAGATTTTAGTTCATAGGAAACATTCAGAGTACCAAGTTTTCAGAATACCGGAATAGGATGTCTAGTGTGTTCCAACCAAAACCATTGTAAATGTGCACATCTTTTTAAAACAATAACATTTTAAAACATATTTTTAAAAACCATAGTAATACCCTCCAACCGAACACCATTATGTAGTTCCCCAAAACTGCATCCATAAGTACTTACCTTAAGCACACAACAGAGGAGCCACCATAAGGGAATGTCTTGGGAACTATGGGCCTACCCAAGGGCACCTTAGGTTTGTAAGGATTTACCAGCTTGATCAGAGTTGAACCTCCATACTCTAGAATCCTACCCATACAGTATCCAGTATAAATCAGATTTAACAGTAACAGTAATATCTGGATCGTGATACAGTAAAATCTCGTAAGCATGAAAATGAAATAAATCATATAACTTCTCTTCACCTGTACACCATATGTAGTCCCATTATTAACCCAAGGGAGTTCTTTGGGGCCTGAGAGCCTACCCAAAAAAGTTTCTAGGGGCCTCGGAGCCTACCCAAATATCGCCTTAGGTCTGTAAGGATTTACTAGCTTGATCAGAGTTGAACCTCCACACTCTAACCTACCCAGATATTGTCCCAATAAAACAATTCAAGTAGTAACCAATAGTTTTCATGATCCGTGAATCAGGAACAATTATATTTTCCAGTGAAAATAGGAAACCAGATAACACGTTTCAGGTAACCATAGTTCATAAACCAGTATATTCCATGATCTATAAATCAAGAACGATTATACTTTCCAGTGAAAGTAGGAAATCATAGAACACATATCATGTATCCATAGTTCATTAACAGTCAATCAAAACATCAGTGAATCCGTAATTTCATAAAATCACATTTTAAAACATGTAAACAATTACATGTCACATAGGGAACACACTAGAGGATCCAGATATTATTCAGAGATACTTGGTATTTATCAGGTAGGGAACCATGAAACTTTTGTAATTTAATAGAATTTTATAATCAAGATCCCTATAAAAAGGGGTTTGATAGCTAACTAATTCATCATTCATTCGGGAAATGATTTATTAAGATCATACAATATTCAAATATTTTTCGTAGGGAATTGAGTATCAGAAAGGCATTCCAAATCTTTTACATTAGAGTTATTGAAGATTTCGACGTAACATGAGTTTCCTATTATTTAGGCAAATGAAGGGCATTTTAGACATTTGAATCTTTGAGAATTCTTAATAATTTAATCTAATAAGTGTACAGAGATGATTTGTGGGATTTAAGATTATATATTGAATTATCAGGATTTTGAGTCAAATTGAACCAACGATCCCAACACTGCGATACTTGTCAATTATTCGGATTGCGATACTTCACTATTATTCACTTCTTATTATTGATTGCACCAGCTGATTTGATCAATATCATAATCATCCTTGACCAATTATTGAGGAGATGAATATGTATTCCGTTGGTATTTATTTCATTTCCACGTTGTAATAGTATCCCAAAATGACCGACGACTTGGGTCGTGCTCCATAACCTTTAGAGGTAGTACATTATTTAGGTTCATCCATGTTCCCATAATCTATCCAACGACATTCACTTAATCTAAGTCCTAAAGATATTTAAATCATCTCGGTATTCAAGGTTATATTAGTCATTCGGGGTCCAGACTCATTAGTTATTTAAAAACTTGAGGAATATCCATCATTTAAATACGTCAGTGACATGTCGCACTTCCAGTAATCCAGTCTTTAAATAATCATTCAAAAATAGTGAGATTGACGTATCACAAGTAATTTAATCGGTGATTCCAAGATTCAATCGAATCATAATTTGAGTTCTCATGTCATCTCTATTATCATATCCATCCATAATCATTTTTACATTTTAATTGTATTAATGTCATTCCAATCCATTCTGTCAGTGGCATTACTTCTGATAAATTAGGCTTCAAAGTATTCTAGTTCCTTTAGAGTTCAAGGTACTTTGGTCATTTGAACATTTGAGATATTTTCGTAGCTCGGGGACATTCCGATAATTCCTTTCAATCCAAACAACATGTACTTTTATGATAATTGGTCAAGTATGTCTTTTCTAGGTTATTCTTCATCATCAGGGGAAGTCTTATATTTTTACAATACAAGGGCATTTTCATAATTTTACTCTATAGGGCTATTTTTGGTAATGTTTTATCGAAATATTCTCGGTATTTAACTTTTAAATAAATTAATCAAAATTTACAGAGCTTGAAGTCAATTCATTTATTAAAAAATTAATGAACTTATAATTATTTTCGATCGATCTTTCAGTTTCTTATGCGAGTTATCTGAGTCTTATACAGTTTGCTGTCTTTTTACCGAAATTTTGTTCGAGTCCAAAAATAATTAATTTTTCCCAAAGGACCAATCATTTCATTGATGCAGTTACCAATTATCAACAAGTTCCGAAAAGCATACAAAAGGTAGTAAAGTATTACCTTGGTTTTTATGCTTCACCGATCGAACATTTAAACTCTATTCGATCACTCTCAAACTTGAATTCAACATCCAATAATTCCTTGGATATATAGACACTGAATTTACATCATAAACTGAACTTAATTGAGAAACCAAATTGAATATGAAGGTAAAATACTGAAAAATGTCTTACTGAGTGCGAATTTGGCAAAACAGACTTCGGATTCTGGCTCAGGATGTCGA